GTCAATGACCTCTACGATTACGTGCTCGTCGATACCCCCCTCGGTATTCATTTAGCCATTCTCTTTCACTCATCATCATCATTGCGAGCTGTGCGCTGCCGCCACAGCTAATCGTTTCCATCTTTTCTCTTCTTCTCCTTCAGCCCCCTACTTCCTGGGCTGCCTGTCGCAGGAGGATCTGAACGAGATGAACATCGAGCTCATCCGTAACACACTGTACAAGGCCTACCTCCAGGACTTCTACAGGTACTGCCAGGTCCTCGGCGGCGACACTGCCGAGGTGATGGGCGAGATCCTCCAGGTACCCCCCCCCACCGCCTGCCTGCCTGCCCGCTCTCTTCACTCAGGCGCGTGCCCAACCTTCTTCCTTCTTTCTTCCTTCTTTGTCGCCTTCTTCATCAGTTCGAGGCGGACAGGCGCGCCATCAACATCACCATCAACTCCTTCGGCACGGAGCTCAGGAAGGAGGAGAGGGAGGCGCTGTACCCCAACTTCGGTCTGCTCTACCCGGAGGGCACCAAGAAGCTCGGCCAGGCCGACCGAGTCGACCAGGTCAAGGACATTGTCGACACCTTCAGCGTACGCGCTCACCCCTCCTCCCCTCTGCGTATGTGCGACTGCTGCGGCAACACGTGCTCACCGGCCTATCTATGTGTGGCTCGCGTTTGTGTGCGTTTGTGTGCGTGTGTGCGCGTGTGTTGCCAACAAATAGAACTACGGCCGGCTGTTTGACGAGTCGGGCCACAACAGCGACAAGTCGCTCGAGGACGCCTTCTTCGCCTACGAGGTGAAGCTCAACCAGCTCTCCTTCGACAGGCAGATGCAGTACGGCGTCTTCTACGCCTACATCAAGCTCAAGGAGCAGGAGATCAGGTACCTAGACCTGACCCCCCCCTAACTCCAACCGCGCACACCGATGTTGGCGTGCCGGCCTCGCCTCACCTCCTCTCGCCCGCCTCCTGCAGGAACCTGGTGTGGATCGCCGAGTGCATTTCGCAGCAGCTCAAGTCCAAGATCAACAACTACATCCCCATCTTCAAGGACTAAGCCCGCCCCTTGAGCTCTCCGAACAACCCCTACCCCCCCCCGTCTATTTAACCCCCCACCTGTCGCCCTCTCCCTCTGCCATGTCCCATTTTCCTCTCCTTGGTGCACGCCCAAGGACCCCTTCAACGTGCTTCATGATTACAAGCTTGTACTTATCACCCAAGGACCACACGCACCCTCTGGGTTTTGATTGCTGCAGAGATTGTGTTGCCGCTTGTTGTTGGCGCAAGCGCTTGCCGGGTCATCGGGAGATGGACGGCTTTGGGACCCCGATTCAGTGGTAAAGATGAAAAATTTGTGGATGACGATGCGTACGAGTAGAGCCTGCGGGGATGTAGCTGGCTGTGAAAGTAAGCTCTTGAACCAAGCGGGGTGTTGTGCGTGGGGTGGAAGGCGCAATCCAACAGGCTGTGAAAGTAAGCTCTTGAACCAAGCGGGGTGTTGTGCAGAAGAACATGCCGCCGCCGCCGCCCAGTGTCGCTCTCCCACACGCACGCCCCGGTGGCGTAGAGCTACTTTTCTTTCGAGCAATCCACGGAGGGGACCTCCACGCCAATCTTGAGCAGCACACCCCACGGCCGCGAGTCACGCCGTGTCCTCCTCCTCGTCGTCGGTGTTGTCCTCTTCCTCCTCGATGTTGCCCGCGCTGTCCATCCCGGTGATGTCCACCCCGTTGCTCGCTGCTCCACCAAACACGCCGCACACGCACACACCCGCAGCGGTTAGTGCCCATCGCCACGGAGACGGAGGTAAAGAGGGAAGGGGGGGGGCATCACGTACCGGTGGAGGGAGAGAAGGCGATGGGCGAGCAGCTGCGCACGTAGGAAAAGCCAGCGAACAGCTCCCTCTGTGTGGTGGGTCCACCAGACCCAAGCGTGAGTGCGTGTGCTCTAAGCTGCTTCCTGGGCTTCCCTTTCAGGCGCGAGTGCGGTGGTGCACTACGAGTGGGTTCGTACCTGGGAGGCGGTGATGTCGTCGATGGACTTGACGGGCGAGTCGGTGGGCGCGGCGTCGGTGAACTTCTTGTCGAAGTTGCCCACGTCGAACACGCCCTTCTCGATCCGCGGGCGGAACGGCGGGTCGACCTCCTTGTTGAGCATCTTCTTCCAGGGCACGCCCTTGAAGAACGGGTGCTCCTTGATGTCCCTGATCCCGTTCTTGCCGCTCCCGAGCCGCTTCTTGGCGTCCCTGTTCAGCAGCTGCAATTATATATACAGAAATAAACATATTGATAAAAAACAGTCAGCAACGACGTGGCGCCACGTCAGCACGTGTGGGTGGACTTCTTGCTTCTTGTGTCAAGCGAGGGGAGGGGGGGGGTAAGGTACCTGGCGGATGATGGAGGCGGCCTCGCGGGAGAGGTACGTGGGCAGGCGAAGCTTCTGTGTGAGGATCTTCTTCTGGAGCGTCGAGTTGTTGGCCGACGTCCAGGGCGGCTACACACACCACACCACACCACACACCACACACCAAGCAAGGCACCGAAACAAAAAACGTTGGCGGAGGAGACACAGCGACGCGGACGACGATGATAATGATGATGGTGATGAGGGAGATATCATGTGGTGGTGGTGATGGTGATGGTGATGGTGATGGTGATGGTGATGGTGATGGTGATGGTGATGGTGATGGTGATGGTGATGGTGATGGTGATGGTGATGGTGATGGTGATGGTGATGGGGGGGGGATGATGCAACAACGTACGTTGCCGGTGAGCATGTCGTAGATGAGGATGCCGAGGGACCACCAATCGGTGGCCTTGCCGTAGGGCTGGCCCTTGAGCATCTCCGGGGCCATGTACTCCAGGGTGCCGCAGAAGGTGCGCGCCGACTGGCCCTCCTCGACGGCCTTCGACAGCCCAAAGTCCGTCAGGCACAGGTTCCCTGCGCCCATCATCGCACACCGCCCCGCTAAGAACGAAGAAGAACGAAGAAAAACAAACGAAGAAAAGAACGAGGCGAGGGCGTATGGGTTTGGGGGGGGGTACCGTCCGAGTTCAGGAGAATGTTCTCCGGCTGTGGGCACACATACACGTACACACGTACACACATATAAACATATATATGAGAGGGGGGGGGGCACATCACGCCGTCACCGCCACGACGCCATCGCCGGTCCAAAAAGAAGACCAGCGCGCTAAAAAAAACACGCGCGGGAGTGAAAGAGGATGGGGGAATGCCTCACCTTGAGATCGCGATGGATGATGCCCTGTTGGTGGAGGTGCTCCAGCGCCAGCACGATCTCCGCCGTGTAAAATCGGACCTGATGTGGCACACACACACACACACACAACACACACAACACACACACACACACACACACAACACACACACACACACACACACACACAACAGAGTACAACATTAGACCACCCGTATCTCACACACGCAACACCGAGAGATGGAAAAGAAAAACAGGAAGAGGAGAAGGAGGAGGAGGGAGGAAGGGGAGGAACGGCACCAGGTCCTCCGAGAACATGGCCTCCTCGCGGAGGTGGAAGAACAGCTGCCCGCCGTTGAGGTAGTCCATCACGAGGTACACCTTCCCTGCACGCCGCCGCCGGTCAACGTTGGAGTTGAATGAAGGGAATGATTGTGGGGGGAGGGCGAGGGGGCGGGGGCGCACCCTCGGTCTGGAAGGCGTAGTGGAGGGAGACGATGAAGGGGTGGCGGATCGAGCGGAGCACTTCGCGCTCGACCATCGTCCCCTCGAGCGCGCCCGTGGTGATGAGGTGCTTCTTGCGCAGCACCTTCATGGCGTACACGTGCTCCGTATCCTTCTTCTGCACCTGATACACCTGCACCCGCCCACCCACCCACCAACACCACAACACACAACACAACACGCACACGCACACGACACACACGACGCACACGACACACACGGTCGTATCATCAGGTTAGAGGATGAAGCCATGGGGCACGCATCACCGTCATAATGGGGGGAGGGTGAGGGTGAGGGTACTTTGCCGTAGCCGCCCTGGCCGATGAGCTTGAGGAGGGTGAAGTCGTTGAGGTCCACCTTGCTCGTCTCCAGGTCGAGGTAGTGGCTGGGACCCACCTCCTCCGACTCCTCCCCGTCTTCCTCGCCCAGGTGATGACGGTCGTCGTCGTCGCCACTGTCGTGCTCGAAGCCCTCGCCGCCGCCGTTGTCTTCGCCCTCGCTGCCGGCGCCCTCGGTGAGCGACGACGAGTCCTCGCCCTCGCTGCCGCTGTTGATGGTGCTGGGCTGCCGCTGATGATGGCGCCGATGATGGCTCCCGGGAGTTGAAGTGCAAGTAGTAGAAGTAGAAGATGAAGAAGATGAAGAAGAAGTAGAGGTGGTGGTGCGAAAGGTGGGCGTCGTGGTCTCCTTGGAGATGAAGAGGTCGTCGAAGACGAGGTCGCCCACATCCTGCTCCTTGTCGTCGATGTTGTGGATGGGTTCATGATGATGGGCCGAATGGCAGCTGGCGAAATGGAAGGGCTGCTGATGGTGCGGGATGAGGTCGTTGAATTCGGCAGAGGAGGAGGAGGCACAAGGGAGCGAGGGCGAGGAGAGGGCCTTGCCAGCCGCGAGGCCCTTCTTGTCCCTTGGCACGATGCTGGGGCCGTTCGTGGAGAACGAGGCGGGGAGATTGGAGGAGGAGAGGGCTGGCAAGGGGGCCTTGCGAATGGGGATGCCCTTGGCGGCAACAGATGATGTTGCTGTTTGCATCTGTGTGTGTCGTACGATTTCTTGACCGTTCAATCTCCGGATCGTACGAACCGTGGAGAAAGAGGTTCCTCTTGTTCTGCACCCCTTTCTCGTTTCCCGGAGGGTTTATGATGGGTGGTCCTGGAATTCGAGCCACGACACCTCCCATGGGACTGTAAAATCCAATCCGCCGCAATGTTTTATATTACAAACGTTTGTGGGCTGACCGCAGCCATGGAGTGCCGTGAAGTCCTCTCCCTTGTTTGGCAAAGGAGAGGAGAAGAAGTAGAAGGAATCATCGACGGGTTGCATCACAGGCCTTTTGGTGCTCCACTTCTATGCGCTTTTGGATTTTATGTCTAGACAAGAGCACAGTAGCACCCACCAGAGGTGGGGTCAGTGGTGGTGGCCGCGGAGAGGTTTGAAGTCGGCGCGGTGCCAGTCGCGCAGGAGGTAGGCCATCATGTCGTCCACAAAGGCCGTCTTCTCGCCCTCGGGCATTGCGAACCCCTGTCCGAGCCGACCTTGCAGCACCCGCCGGAGCTTCTCGTCCTTGGTCACCTTCTCCCTGCTGTGGCCGCCGCCACGTCGTTGGTTGCTGCTGCCTCGCGTCGTGGCCCCATTCTTCCCTCCTCGGCCACGCCCTCTCGGCTTGCGCTCCTCTTCTTCCTCTTCATCGCCCTCTGGCTGTTCCTCTTCCTCTTGCTCCTCCTCCTCCTCCTCCGCTTCTTCATGATGATTCCCCTTCACGTCTTCGTCCATCTCGTCGGTCGCGTCCGGCACGCGGTCATCGACATTCTCGGCATGCTCGCCGCCCCCGCCCCCGCCATCGTCATCTTCGTGGGCGGTGGGTCGGAGGAACTGATGCGACATGCTCCGCCGTCGCCTCCCGGCCTCGTCCCTGACCTCCTTTCCGCCACGTGTTTTCCCGACGCTGCTGCCGCTGCCGCTGGTGATGGTCGTGGTCGTGGTGCTGGTCGTGGTGCCCGCAGCTGCCGCGGCAGCGGCAGCAGCGGCGGCGGCGGTGGCCTGTATGACGCTCCTCCGGCGTCCGCGCGTGGAGCCGCCGCCACGGCCTCGGCCTCGGCCTCTGCCCCGACCTCCTCGCCTGGGCGAAGGCCCTCCTCGTCCGAGCCCCGCGGCCCGAGGCTGGTGGTGGCGCGTAGTGGAGGCGTCCGAGGGCGAGGCGTCGTCGGCCGACTCGGAGCCCGAGGAGAACGTGAAGGCTGCTAGCGGCGATGGAACCGAGGCTGACGACGTCGGTTCTGCCGCCGCCTCGTCCGTCATGGTCGCCGCCGCCACCGCCTCGTCGAGTCCAGCGGAGAGGCCGGCGAGCGAGAGGGCGGGCGAGGAGGGCCCGGAGGAGGTGGGGAAGGGCAGGAAGACGAGGACGGGCGAGGAGGGCCCCGAGTGGATGGCGTCCGGGTAGCGGAGGGGGTCGTCGTCGAAGAAGCCCTCCCCCGGCCGGTCGGCGAGGCGCAGCTGCTCGACACCGACGTAGATCTCGTCGTCCAGCTCCACCGGCCACCCATCGTCGCCGCTGGTGCTGCTCGGAGAGGCCGGCGACGGCGGGCCCGACGCAAAGCGCACGACGCCTCGCCCCTTCTCCATCGACAGCGCGCTGGCCTCGGCGGCCACGGGGAGGGAGCCGCCGAGTCCGACATGGGCGTCGAAGATCAGCTGGCCGCTCTGCTCTCCCAGCTCCGGTTCCTCTTCGACGTGCGGGTGGTACCGCTGTTGGTAGCCGAGGGGTTGTTGGTGTTGACGATGATGCTCTGCGACGGGCGGGGCGTCGGCAAGGTCGAGGGTAGCGCCGCCATCGTCATCGCTCCCGCCCTTGCCGCCCGACTCAAAATCCTGGCCCACTCCGCCAGTCGTCGCCGTCGCCGTTGCCACCAACGCTCGAGCCTCTCCCACGGGAGAGGCCTCCGGTACTCCATTGTCCGACCCCGCCGAGGAGGCGGCTCCGAGCTGGTCAAAGGGCTGCTGCTGCTGCTGCTGCTGCTGCGGGTGGTGGTCGAACAGCACCAGGGTGGTGTCGATGTCGCCGACCCACGAGGGCAGGTGCTCACGCGCCCACGCCTCCGTGATGACGCTCTCGTCGGGGTGGGCCAGCGTCGTCAGCAGCTGCGGCATCTCCAGCACTGCCTCCTCCGCCTCCAGCCCCGGTGTCGCCCGCTGCTCCTCCTCCTCCATGTCCTCCTCCTCCTCGTTGGTGTTGTTGGTGCCCTGTCGTCGCCCGGGCTCGTCCTTCTTCTCCTCCTCTTCCTCCTCTTTTTCTTTTCCCTCGTCGTCTTCCGTTTCGTGACGGGAATCGCGGTGATCATCGCCGCCCTTTCGCCCATCATCCCCGCCGCCGCCGCCGCTTCCTGCTGCACCTCCGCTTCCCTGCGCGTTGCCGGTGGTACCGCCGCCGCCGTCCTGTTGCTGCTGCCCTCCGCTGCCGCCATCACCGCTGCCGCCGCCGCCACCGCTGCTCGTCTGGCCCGACGGAGTGGCGGTCGTCGTGGAGGAGGTGGTGCTGGTGCTGGCGGCGACTCCGGCTCGGCTCGCGGCCGCCGCCGCCATCAGCCCAGAATCTGCCACCAGCGACAGCCCCGCGTGCCCGCCTGCATCCACGGCGCGCTGCCATCAATCACGCGGCTCTTGTATACGATTGGGGAGGGGGAGGGTCACAACGACACATGCGACACAAAGGGCGTGGCGTACCAGTGTCGTGTGGAACCGCCCGTTTCCGCTTCCGGCCAGCGACGGCCGGGTCCGCGTGCAGGTCGTCTCCCTCTTCCAAGTCTCCGCCGGCCTCGTCCTCGGCCAGGCTGGCCTCGCCTGCCTCCATCGCCGACGATCGGCAATCGTCATCATCGTCACCACCATCATCATCACGGCGGGCCGGCGCCACCGCGGTTCCCTGGGCCAACGCGTCTCCACCGTCGTGCGCTTCGCCTCGGCCGCCATTGCTCAGGGCGGCGGCGGCGGCAGTGGTGATCGGGGCCTCCGTGATGGCCATGGGCTGGGCGTCGTCGTGGCGACGATGGCTATCAGCCTCGTCGCCTTCGTCGTCGGCGCCGGAGGTGACGCACAGGCCGTCGTGTCGCCCCAGTGGCGCGCTGCGACTGCGTTCGCGGCCTCGCGGGCTCTGTGCACCCCGGCCCCGCCCGCGGCCCCGCCCTCGACCGCGTCCGCGTCCGCGCGTGCCTCGTCCCCGCCCGCGGCCCCGCCCACGTCCCCGGCCTCTACCGCGCGCCTCGGCCAGCGAAGACTCGTCGTCGCCGTCGCCGTTCTCGGGGTCTTCGCCCTTCATGATGAACGGCGCATCGTCGTCGCCGCCGCCGCCGTTGTTGTTGTTGTACACGTAGTTGAGCGACGTGGCCTTCTCCATCTTGTCGCTGTGGTGGTTGTTGTTGTGGTGGTTGTTGTTGTGGCTTGAGCCCAAGCCGTCCTTGCGGTCGTCGTCGTCGTCGTCGTAGTCGTCGTCCTCATCATCGGGCTCAGGCTCGGCGTCGGACCCCGAGTCGTGGGCCGAGTGGTGCCGCGGCGGTAGCTTTCGATCGAACGGCCGCTTGCCCTTGCCCTTACCCCTGCCGCCTACGCCGCCACCTCCGCGGTGGTGATGCATCAGAGCGCCGGGACCCGTGCGGCGTCGGTCCTGCGTGCGCCACACGTGCTTGAAGTTGGTGCGGTACTTGTTCCCCTTGCAGTTGTCCACCATCTCCTTCTGCAAAGGCCCCCGGCGGCGGTTAACGATGCGAACGACAACAAAGAGGCACGCTGATCGGTGAAAGAGGGATTGGTGTGTGTGTGTGTGCTGTACCATGGCCTGCACGACGGAAAGGGGCACGGTTTGCTCCTGGACGACGTGGTACTGGAGCTGCATGGGCACGCTCATGATGTCGCCGCCCTTCTTCCTCCGCTTGCTGTGGCGCGTGGAGAGGGTGTCCTGCTTGTTCCGAATCCAGAACCAGTTGTACACCGTCTCCTCGGTCGGCAGCCGCGCGTCGTACGTCGCTACACACGACACACGACACACGGGGGAGAGGACCGTGTCAATGCAACGAAGCGGGTGAAGGTCACGTGGCTGGTACGTACCAGCGATGGCGCCGATGAAGGGCTCGCAGCTGCTGCCGGCGTCGCGGAAGAGGGCCTGGTAGTTGCGCTGCGTCTGGATGTCCCGTACGGAGGGGTCGGGCTGGAAGAGCGGGTGCGAGTGATACCACCCGACGATGCGCATCTTCTTGCTCGTGATCTTCTCCGCCACGGCCAGCTCCGACACCGGATCGATCTCCACGTTCATGCCGTCGGTGGCCGACCCCTCCAGCGACCGGCACGGAAAGGCCTCCTCCACCACAATCGCTGCACACCGGCCAACGCCAAAATAAACAAATCAATTGAAAAAAAAAAAAAACAGCAAGACAGAAGGCCAAAAGAGGAAAACGAAAAGAAAAACAAATGATTAAAAAGGCGTACATCGGGTGATGGGGTCCCACGTGCCGCCGAGGAATCCGATGACTTCGGTGTTGAGGAGATGGGAGTGGAAGTCGATGAGGAGCTGCACGGAGGCCTTCACGTGGATGGTGAAGGGCTGCGCGTTCTTTTGCTCGTGGGGCGAGAGCGAGTGCCACAGCGCGGCACTCTTCTCGAATCGCTGGCAGGGCACCATCGTAAGTGGGTCCCTACAGCACAAACTTTGATGAGCTCCCACGAAGAAAATGTGTCGTGTGTCGTGTCAGCGAAGTGCTGGTACCGTCCATCGAGGTCGTGGTTCTTGTAGATCTCGCCATTGGAGCGCGAGTGGTTCTCGTCCTTGTAGGCGTCGGAGGGGGCGCTGCCCGGGGCGGGCGGCGGGAGGTGGGCGACGGAGGCGGCGAGGGCCTGGGTGCGGCGATGGTAGGTCTCCTCGGTGATGACGCTCGGGCGCGGGTAGGTGCCCCCCAGGTAGGGGTTGTTGGCGGTGAGCACGAGGGGCTCGTCGTAGTACTCGCCCTTGAGCGGCTCCTGCACCAGGCCGTACCGCCCGTTCGAGTACCACTTGCGGTAGAAGAAGTGGTCGTCTCGCCGGCAGTACTCTTGCAGGTTGCCTGCGCTCGACGACACACGCATGACGCATGGCACGACACGCGCCTCAGCAACACATACCTTACATAGTAAAAATTTACAGGTGTGGATGGGGGGGGCACTTACCGATCTCCTTGTCGTGCTGCACAAAGCACTTCCCTTCGACAGAGCGCACGGGGTTGTCGTCGTAGTCCTCGGAGATGAAGATCTCGCGATCGGTCTCTTCGATGTGCTCCTCCTCGCCCTCCCCGAACGCCATCAGGGACCGCAGCTGAAGTGGCCACGGCACGCGGGCCACAAATACGATATACGATGTAAGCGAGAGGCCCAACCCTCCCACCCACCCATCGGTTAGGTCTAGGCCTTGGGGCGGGAGGGTACCACTGAGCTGTCGATCTCGCGTTGTTGGTAGAACCAGCGGCCCGAGAGCATGCACTTACCGTCCTTCGTTTCCCAGAGCTCCATGATCTGGGCGATGTAGAACCGGTCCTCCGAAAGCCCGTCTGGTGCATTCCCCCCAATCCCTCAAAGTGTGAGTACGCCAAAAAGCGAAAAGGAAAAGGAAAAGGAAAAGGAAACAGAGCTGTACCCTCATCGCTCTCGTTCTTGGGGGCGTTCAAGTAGACGCAGTCCCCGGTCTCGTATTTACATCCGCCCAGCACGAACCCGCGATAGAGCTTGCGTCCGCTCGCTTCGTCCATCTTCGCTCGTCCGACCCACTCCACAGCTGGGGTGTGTTCCGAAGACGGCGATGAATGAACGAATGAACGAACGAATGAATCGTGAGACCAGAAACGAGAGAGCGGCAAACAACAAGAGGTGAGCTGCACCTTCGGTCTTCCTTCGCTTGGGCGGTCGCCCGAGCTTACGCGCGGCATTGGCGCTGGGCTCGATCGTCAAGGAGGAGGGAGCAGACTTGCGCTTGGTCAGCCCCATCGCCGCTTCCTTGTCGTCTACCTCGTAGTCCTCGCCTTCCTGTCTGTTGCGGCCTCGCGCACAACTGCGCAGCGCAGCAAAGGGGAGTGCGTGTGAGGCGGGCCATCGCGTTCATCATGCCAGTGGGAGGAAGAAAGCGTACACTTTGGTGTCTGTGGGTCTGTTCTTGCAGGCCGGTCCCGTGCCGCCGCCTGGAGATGAAGGTGTGTAGTGTAAATCAAGAAGGAGATTAGAACACCACTACACGGGAGGAACGGTGGGCAAGAGAAGTGGAGGGCGTAAGCACCACTAGTCGATGAGAGGGCGACGATGCAGTGCTGGCAGGGCTCGTCTTCGTCGCACCAGGAGAGCCTCCCACCACGCCCGCTGGTGTACCGAGCCCCAGAAGGAGGGTCCTTTGATTTTCTCTGCATCCATCCATTGGATCAAAAAAGATGCCGAAATTAAGACAAGATTTGAGGAAATGTGAGGCCATTAGGGAAGAGAAAGCATAAGGAGACCATTAGAGGCAGAAATGACACCATTTCTGCAAACTCTGATCCCAGCGTTCCGTGTACAAGAAGGCACAAATGGAGTGATGCCGTACCTTGGAGACCTTGTCTTCTGCCTTATACCTCTTGGCCTTGCTCATCCGCGTGTGGTTGTCAATTGGCAAGCTGCTGCGGCGCGAGTAGCGGGAGGGAACAACGACACGCCAATCTGCACGGCCTCGCCACGCATTAGCACCCCTCCTGGGTCCGGGATGTGCGTGCGGTCAAAAGGGGATAGATCAGCTGCGGCCCCTGGTTGCTCTCGCGTCCTTCTCGCGAGTAACAACAAAAAACGCGCAAGTCCAAAAATGGTGGCGAAAAACAGGCCTGGCTTGTTGAGGCGTTGGCACAAAGCAAAGAAAGAGAAGAAGCAGCTCAGTCGTCTTCATCATCGTCCTCCTCCTCCTCGGCTTGCGCGCTGGCTGGTGGCCTGGATGGACCCACTCGCGACGCAGGCGCCGGAGGTCGCGACTCGTCATCGTCAGAATCCTCCTCTCCGCCGGCAGCGGCGCGGTTGCTCGGCGCGTCCTCGTCTTCCTGCTCGAAGATGGTCTCGATGTTCTTCTTCTTTTTCTTCTTCTTCTCCTTCTTGGGCTTCTCCTGCTCCTCCTGCTCCTCGTCGCCTTCGCCCTCCTCTGCCAGCATGGCCTGCCTCTCCATCTGCTTCCTCTTCTTCTTGCTGATGGGCTTCCACGCCTCATAGGCCGCCACTTCCTCCCCCGTCTAACATTGTCACACACGACACACACGACACACGGCGGTGACCTCTGGTGAGCTTCGGAAGGAGTTGTGCGGCACGACATGTCTCGCCTCTGAGGCAGAAGGGGCGGTACCAGCTGCGCGGGAGCCGTCTCGTCCTTCGGCGGAGCCCAGGGGCCGAGGTACTCTTCTGTGCCGGGGTCGCCTGATTGCGCCCTCTTCTTCTTCGCCTGCTTCCTGTAGTCCCAGTCACGCGCGCGGGGGGAGGGGGTCGCCTGCACGTCAGTAGCGCGCGCAAGGAGTGAAGGCGAGAGATGAAGGGCGGCGGCGGCGGAGGTGGCTTTCACCTGAGCTGGCGGGCGGACGGGCTGGGGTCGAACACGCTGGTGGCGCCCTTGGTCTGCTGGCGCTCGGTGCTGCCGATCATGGAGTGTGTCTGGGCGTTCACCGTGGGGTCGGCGGCGAAGCCGTAGCAGTGGAAGGTGTGGTACTGCTGGTCGAAGAGGAACGTGTTGAGGTTGGTCCGCTCGACGTGTCCCGTGGGTGTGTTGTTGATGGTGTCCCGTCGCACGCCCGGTGGAAGCGTGGCGGGTCCCTGGACGGGCGCGTAGAGAGTGTCCACCCTGGGGTTGAACGTCACCTCCTTCGAGTCCGCCCTGGCAAACGCGCCCAGCCCCTGCAAAAGGAACGAACAGCACAAGAAGGAAGGCATTGGGTGAGGCTCGCTCTCATTCACAAGAAATGAATGAAAAGAGCAACAATCATTCAAATGACTGCATAAAATTTGTAGCAATTTTGGAGGCTTGTCACCAAAATGAAAGAATTGAAGATGGCTTCACGCAAATGAGCAACGTACGAGAATGGGAGTGACTGATGGGGCCAAATCCACGCTGAGCGGAAGAAGAGTCGCGGCCGCACTGCCGGCATCGAATGATGGGACAACAGCCTCCTCGACCCTCTCCTCCTCGCTGTCGTTTAGCTCATCTTCGTCCACATACGAGGCGAAGACGTCCATCTCTGCGTCAATCTTGGCGATAAAAAGAAAAAGAAAAAGAAAATATTCCAGGCTTTTGCTGGACTTCACACCAAGCGGAGGTCTCATTCATTTTTGTTCAACACAATAATCTATTTTTTCGAGAGATTCAGAGACTAGCGATGCTGCAGCGCTCCTCTTCCCTCCTTCGTTCCGCTCCCGCCTCTCGTACGTTCCCAGCAAACTCATGTGTATCGCATTATTCTTTTTTGTATTTCAGACTGCAACCCCCTCTCCCATCGACAGGCGCCGCGTCTCTGGTCAGCGGTGCGCAGTGCTACGGTACGTAATATTCGGAATGTGATTATGGCTGAGTGTCCGTAGTGGTGCGAATGCATTCCATTATTGAAATTGCCATTATGTCGCGCAGCCACCAAGGCCGGCGAGGCTGCTCCGCTGCTGAACAAGACCGTCGGCGAGCTGCTGAGCGATCAGAAGGCCAAGTATGAACACAAGGACGTGCTCGTCGTGTCCCACCAGGACATCAAGTGGACCCACGTCGGTACGCGTCTACTCGCCTCTTCTTTGAACAAAAAAAGAGGGAAAAAGACTGCACGTAGAGACTACGCTGCTGTGCTGAACCCCTTTCGCTTTGTGGGCCTTGTAGAGCTGGACAAGTACGTGCGAGGGTGGGGCAACGGCCTGCCGGAGGCCCGAGTCACGAGGAAGCCCGCTCCGGCCACCCCCGACCGAGTCCTCTCCTTCCTCGCCAACGATGCCGAGAACGTAACGCGCTCCTTCCCCCTCGTCATGGCGTGCCACACGACACGCACGACACACAGCGCGTACTCGATGTCTGACGCTCGGAGAACTGGTCGTGTGATATCATACGATACGATTTGCAACTGCGCAGATCGTGACGCAGCTCGGCACGGCGACCGCCGGACGTATCGTGGTGCCGGCCAGCCCCGAGACCACCGCCTCTCCCGCTGAAGTCGAGTGCGTGCCCCTCCCATGTTTCATATCATTTATTATTATCATTTTAATGCCGCCGATGGTGTAGCGCCCCAACGGTCAACTCACTCGCGCGGCGGTGGCTTTGTGTTCAGTGCCGCCCTCAAAACGCTGCAGGCGCGCATGGTGATAGTCCCCGCCAGGTTCGAGGACCGCAACAACATCGACGCCCTCAACGCGCTCGACGAGGAGATCCCCACCTGTACACACCCACGCCCCTCCGCTCTTTCGCGCGCGTGTCGTGTCGGTTCGAGTGCGCTCACGTGCGTTGAAATCGTTCCAGGGCCGCTGGGCGTCGCGCTCAACCTGAAGAAGTACCCGAACCTCAAGCACGTGGTCAACACCGGCGAGCAGTTCTACAGGGGTGAGTCACCCCCCCCCCAAACCACCCACATACGCCTCTCGTCGGTCTGGCAACTCTGGACGCATCGGCTCACTCGCCTGCTCGTCGTGTCGTTGGTCGTGTTGCGTGTCATGTTGCGCTCCACTGTGTGTCGGCCGCAGGTCACACCATGTGGCGGGACCTGATGGTGTACAACCCGACCCCCAGCAACCTCCCGGCTGCCGGCTCCGTCTCGCCCAGCGAGGCCGTGCTGGGCTACCTCTCCGGGGGCCAGGTACCACAGCTCATCACAACTCCCCCCCCCGGGGGGGGATGCGGCCGAACTCATCGTCTGACGCGTTGCGTGTGTTGCGTGTGTTGCGCGTGTTGCGCGTGTGTCGTGTCATCGGGTCACCAGACGGCGATGTTCAGTCACAGCGCGGTGGTGAACAGCGGCGCCCTGTTCGGTAGCGTCGTGGGCCTCACCTCGAGCGACCGAATCTGCGTCGCGTCGCCTCTGCACACCGGCCACGGCCTGCAAGCCAGTAACGCCCCCCACCACCGTGTGTCGTGTGTCGTGTGTGTTGTAAGCTGAACCTTCCCCCCCGCCGCCGCCGCGTGTTCCTCTTCCAGTCGTGGCTGCCATCGCCCACGGCGCGGTGGCGGTGGTCCCGTCGCTTGTGTTCGAGGCCGACCAGGTGCTGGCCAGCCTCGCGCGGGACGTGTGCACCGTGCTCCAGGTCTCCCCGCAGCAGCTCAAGGCCGTCCTCGACTCCCCGGTCCTCGCCAAGCACGACCTCGCCGCCCTCCAGAAGCTCGTCATCGGTACCACCATCTCTCCACCAATCTATCGGGGCTCTGCCTTTTTGAGTGCTGCTCACCACCCTCAACGCCCCTGCTCAGTCGGTTCGGCACACGAAAGCTCCGCCGAGGTTGCCCAGCTCGTCGAGCGCGCCACGAGTACTCTCACCCCCCCCCAAGACCATTATTCTTATTATTATTGAAAGTGGGGTGAAGGCCGGTTAGTTGATGCGGGCACGTGTGGTGTGTTGGTGACGTTGCAGGCGCGTTGAAGGTGAAGGAGGTGGTGGTGGCCCACACGGCCCCCAACGTGGCGGGCGTCTTGTTCGCCGGTAGCGCGACCCAGAACGCGTCCAGCCCTGCTGCTGGTCGTCTCCTGCCGCACGTCGAGGCCAAGCTTGTGGACGGCGGCAAGGCCGTCAAGCCCGGCGCCTCGGGCAAGCTCTACGTCCGAGGGTACGCGCCACGTCTTGCTTGTTCACTCACTCGCTCACTCTGCTCACCTCACTCACTTTGCCGGGTCCACTCGCTGTCTCTCTCCAGGTTCAACGTGACACAGGGCTACTGGGGCGCTGAGAAGGCGGCGGTGGACAAGGAGGGCTGGCTCGACACTGGCCTTCAGGCCTCGGCGTCTGCCGATGGTCTCTACACCATCAAGCACTAGAGTGAGTGAGCGAGTGAGTGAGTGGTGTACAACGACCCCGCTCGCCCTTACTCCCTTGTTGTTGCTGCTGTCCCTCATCGTAGTAGAACAGAAGGCCCTTGAAAGGCGTACCGGTCGTTTTTATTATTTTATATTTGCATCACCAGCACACAAACAAGGATGGAGAGAGGTCAGGGTGTGGATGCGGTCAACCGGTTCCTGGCGCACGCCCGCCAGTTCGTGGGCGGCCCGCTCGACGCGCACACTGTGGTGCACGTGGTGATGGGCAACGAAGCGAGCGACCTTGACTCCATGGTGCCCGCCCCCCTGCAACAAATTAAAAATGTAGAATAAATAATATCACCCCAATTTTTAATTTAATTCAATAATGTTAGCGTGAGCTGATATTTTGGTTTGATTTATTTCTTTATTTATCTTTCGGTTTTGTGTGTAAAACGTGAGCAGGTGTCGAGCACCATGCACGCGTACCATCGGTCGGTCTCGCCGCTTGCCGGCGCCATCACCGCCGGCAAGACACACTCCTACGTGCCCGTCATCAACATCCCTCGCCAGGACTTTGCTCTGCGCACCGGTGCCGTTCTCCCTCACGCACCACCGCCAACAATACGACACACCACCGCACACGCGCAATGCGACACGACACACGCACCACGCTGGATGCTGAACAATGAGCGCGCACACACGCACGCGCGCGCAGAGTCGGTGTGGCTGTTCGAGTCAGTGGGGGTCGACACCCGGAGCTGGGTCTTCATCGACGAGATCGACCTCGACGCCCTCCACGAGCGCGGCCAGCTGCGCCTGGTGCTGATCGACCACAACAAGCTGGCCTCGCACCAGAAGCACCTGGCCGACGCGGTCGAGGAGATCGTCGACCACCACAACAACGAACACCTCTACGCGTCGTCGGTCGTGCGCCGCGTCGTCGAGCCGGTCGGCTCGGCCGCGACGCTCGTCGCGCTGGAGCTGCTCGAGGCCCACAGTGATGACGCGTCGGCGGTGGTGCTCGACGCGGGCCTGGCGCGGCTGCTGATGGGACCGATCCTGCTCGACACCGTCAACTTCGCCGCCGACTCGGCGCGGTTCAACGAAAAGGACACGCGCGCCTACGAAGCGCTCAAGCAGATCATCGCTGCCGCGGGCGAGGGCGAGGGCCAGTCTCCGCAGGCGCTGTTCGACAAGCTGCAGGCGGAGAAGTTCAACGTGGCCTCGCTCTCCTCGCGCGACCTCCTCCGCAAGGACTACAAGGAGTTCCACCTCCACATCTCCGGTACGCACGCGCCCATCATCAGTCCAGCAGGCAACCAAGCTGAGTACGTGCGTGTCGTGTCGTGCTCTGCGCGTGTCGTGCGTCGTGTCGTGCTCTGCGCGTGTCGTGTGTCGTGTCGTTTTGCTCTGGGGGCGCGCAGGCGGGAAACGCTCGGTCAAGTTGGGCATCAGCTCGGTGGGTCAGTCGATCGAGGCCTGGGCGGCCAACGAGTCCGACATCCCCGCGGCGCTGGCCAAGTGGTTCGCCGAGCAGGGGCTCGACCTCCTCCTCGCCAACACAGCCTTCTTCGACCAACAGAAGGGTGCGCTGCCATGCAACACACACACACACACACCACACACAGACCAGTTTGTGAACGACGTCAAGCAGTTCATTGCCACCTCGAACAAGAGCAGCGACGTGCCGGACGATGGGCTCAGTTCTTTCTTTTCCTTATGTCAACAGGTTTCTGTCGCCAGCTGGTGGCATTTGTGGAGGCGGCGGAGGGCGATGCCAACGCGCAGCTGTTCGCCGAGCTGGTGGGCTTCCTGGAGAAGAACCAAGAGCTCAAGCTCCACCGAACGGCCAGTGAGGTGACGCAGGGGAGGCGCGTCGTCTTCTACGACCAGGGCAACGCCAAGGTGTCGCGCAAGGTCCTCGAGCCCATCCTCGCCCAGCAATTCTTTGCTTCCCTGTAATGTTCCTGGCCACAACAACAACACCCATGGATGCCAAACAACATCACTCCAAACACAACATGCGATCATCAAGCTATGGTCTTGTGTGACTTGTGGTTGTTTACACAGCTGTACATATTCGAAAAAAATTAACACAACGGCCACTGCCCGCTACTGGCTTGCTCCGCTCTGTCTGGGCCAGGTGACAGTGGCTGACGCACACGAACGATAATGTCGCATCACCTGAAGATGGTGGCGGTCGGCCCTTCAGAACCGCTTGGAGGTCTTCCGCGTGGCGGCCGCCACGGCCGGGGCCATGATGCAGCCGTCGCACACGCGCTCCTTCTTCAGGTGCTTCACGCCCTCGTACTCCAGGTACTGCTTCGTCCCGCAGCACTTACCGCAGAACACGCCTCTGTAGACCCACCGAGGACAGGACAGGGAGAGGGTGAGCCCATGAAGACACAAACATACACGACACGAACAACACACCACACACAACACACACACACACACCAGTGGTGGTGGTGTTGAGCCCAGGTGCGCGCGTACGTACCCGCACTTGCGGCAGTGGTGCCTTCGCTTGGTCACGGTGAAGCCGCGGGAGCATCGCATGCAGACGGGGGCTTCGTCGTCGGGTATCCACGTCCGCGAATGCGTGAGGCCCTGCAGCTCCTTCTCTGTGTAGCGTGAAGGGAAAAAGCAATCATTTTCGTGTAAGCGACGTGTTGGTGTTGATGGTTGTTCGTAACAACACGTTAAGAGCCTCGCGTCCGCTACGCGAGGGAAGGTGTGGAGGTGGAGGGAGAGGCGAACCCACGATCCGGTTCTGGTCCATGGCGATCAGCTTGCCGGTTCCCGCGCCCACCGCAGCGCCGAGGGCAGCACCACCGGCCGCAGCTGCACACATTGAGAAGAAGAAGAAGAAAGAAGCAGAAGCAGCAGATGTTAACGTCCTTCCTTGTCGGCAACTGCGTAGAAGTAGTTGTCTGCGCGCACTACGTGGCGCCAATGGAAGAAGAGGGCGTAGCGTACTGAGGGCAACGCCGGCGCCGTGCGTGACAGCGCCACCGATGACGGCTCCGGCCACGCCGCCCACCACGCCTCCCACCACGCCACCGATCACCATGTGCTTCGCTCCGTTCGTGTAACTGGCCTGTCGGAAGTAGTGAAAATAAATAAACAAACGAATAATAAAGAAATAAATAAAAGCATCGAGTAGCGGGGAGGATGATGAGGAAAGAGATGGAAGGAGAAAAATCAGTGTGAGTACCTCGGCCAGGGTGAAGGCGGCACCATGGGTGACGGCGTCAGAGGAGTGGATGTTGTCGTGGATGACGTGGTCGACCTGCTCCCGCGTCTCGGCAAGAAGCTCGGCGGTCATGCGTTGCATCTCGGCAACGGCAACAAGGTCCTTCTGCAGCGCTTGCACCCCCTCGTTGGTCTCCTGCACCATGATCTCGTCCACCTTGAGGCTCCTCATATCTGCAGGTGTGGCGTCAGTAACAAAAGCGTAGCCCCCCCCCTCCCATTCTCAATCAATCACAAGGCCAAGGCTCACCCTGATGGTTCCATTGAACTTGCATCTGGGCTTGTTGCCCGCCTCCGTAGTAGTCCATCATTTCAGCTGATTCTTCAGTTGTTCCTTGTGGTGAATGAAGAAAACTGAAAAACAACACAAAAAAGAAGTGGGCGCCAAGGATACCACGGAGCGCAATTTGAAGCATTTCTTTGCGACAACTCCGCCCAACTCCTTGACCTGCTTCTGCTTCTGCTTGGCCAGAAACTCTGGCAAGAGAGGAGGTGGAATAAAAGCAGTGGCAGCCCACGCCCCTTGTTGGGTCCACTAAGCAACACTCGCAACACACCAGCGGCCATGGGGCCTCTCTCTCCTCCACTTCTCTCCCTTCTCTCTCCGTTCCTTCTCGAACATCAGGCGTTCCTCTCCTCCTCCTCCTCCTCCTCTCAGCGGATCGCTGTCGCCCTCCTCGGCGATCCCACAACAACAGGACTCCTCCGCTTGTTTCCCGGTCTTCTCTCCTTCATCGCTTGGCTTGGCCTCGGTCTCCTCCGTGAGCCTTTCCTGAAACTCTCTTTAGCTCGACGCAGCTTCCTCGCCGCTTGGGAGGGGCTCCTCGGACGTGAGCTCAACTGTAATTACGAGGGGAGAAAAAAAACACGATGAGCGGGTGTTTGCACGACGGTGGTGATGGTGGTGCAGCTTATGTACCCTCTTCCGCTCTCTCGCTTTCGTCAATAAGCTCAATCCTTCCGTCATCGTCGACCTCCTCATCGGAGCCGTCCTCCTCGTATTGTACTCCCTGCTCCTCGTAGAAAACGCTGTCACCACGACCCATCTCGCCCAGGCCAGAGTCGCCCTGCAAGTACGCGTTAGTGAGTCAATCACACACACGCACGACAAAACGGTTGCGTACCATCATGGGAGAGCCGCCGGCGGGAGGGGCACCGATGGGGGTGTTGTTTCTGTCGTTGATCTCCTTGAGCCTGCCGTTGACGAGCTCCTTCCAGAGGTCGTTCTCGTCGAGGAGCCTGGCGAGGGGCTCGTGGTAGGTGGAGGCCTTGGTGAGCTCGTTCGAGAGGTGGACCAGGTGGCCCAGGTAGCCCACGGTCCTGTCGCTCTCCTTCTTGAACGCGTCGGAGAACCGCTGGATGAACTTGCACTTTTCGATGAGGACGGCGATGATGTTGTCTCCGTTGTCGAGCGACATGATGGTGGCGATGATTTGGTCAATATAGTAATGCACAGTGTTGTTCCACTTGTAGTGGAAGAGGATGTCCTGTTGTTGGGAGAAGACACACACGCGCGCGCGGTCAGCAACCGCGCCGTGCCTGCGAACGTGCGTGCGTGATGTTTTGATGAATACGGTGGCGGAGATGCGTACCAACAGCGTCTCGAACACGTTGGGCTCGGTCTTCCAGAAGGCGTCCACCACGGACTGGTACCTCGTGTTCAACAGAGCGCTGAGGAACTCGAGGATCTTCACCCTCAGGAAGCCGAAGGGCGGGCTCAGCTTGCCGTAGGTCATCTGGAAGAACCGCTCCGAGTCCTGCAGGACAGAACGAAAGCGTGTTAGCGATGTTGTGCGCCCACATGCTCATCATAAGCATGTGTGTTATATAAATATCAGCAACTTTGAGCATATTCATGGCCATGGCCTATCATCAACACGGACCAAAGTTGAACTCATCATCTACAAATACGCGCACAAAGGGAGGTGGCCAAAAGGTGTTACGCGTGGCACGGGCGGAACCTGGGCAATGGCGTCTACCTCGCCGTTGTCGCGTGCGTTGGTGCGTACCAGCCGCGGCCCTCATCAGAGCTTCAAATGAATGGCTCCGTTGATGACGACTGAATCCTTGACTGGCCCTGCATGCCGGCCAACGGCGGTGCCAGTTGCGAGAGCCACCTCCGCGAGTGGGCCTCGTTCGAGATCGCCTTCTTCGTGCTCGGCGTTCTCAACGTCCGGCACTTCGCTCGTTCTGTTGCACCGCTGATCGAATGTCTTGTTTTGAAGTGGGTGCACGTACTACGACTAACAATCAATGGTCATCAGGTGGTGTGGAAACACAGGAGAGTACCGCAGCTGGTCGTAGACCGCAACGTACAGTCGGACGACGTGTTCATTGCCGCCTCCAGGTTCACTCCGTACGGTCCTGGCATTTTGCAGTTGTTACGAAAATTGGCTAACAGTGTGTGTGTTGGTGGTGTGCGTGCGTGTGTGTGTGTGTGTCGTGTGTCGTGTGGCTCGTGTTCGGCTGCATCTGGACCTTTGAGGAATCCAAAGGAATCCAACTGCGTACGTTTCTCTTAAGTTAAAGGAGGTACCGGAAATGTGGGTGGTTTCAGGGGATAAAGTAGCCAACGCCTAGTACTCAGGAATAGTGTTCTATTCT